TTCACATCCTAGCATCCACATGGAGGCAAACACCATCAGTAACTCCATTTCCAGGGGATCCAACATCCTCTTGTGCATGTATGTGTCACCCCTACACACATGCAGGCAAAACACTCATAAACACAAACTAAAAATAAACACTATTAAACTTTAAAAAACGGAATGTTAGAGGAGATAATACTTTTAATTATCATTGCAAATTAGTTGTAATCTCCATTTGTAGCTTACTTTTATGACTACTTGATTATTAGGAGTCAGTTTTCAGAGTCCCATGGCCACTGGACAGTTAATTGGTCTTAGGGTCTAGGGCCTGGTGGCCTCAAATCACATATACCAATGACAGCCTTGCAAGAGCTAATTTGCATTTTCTCTACTTCCCCTTCCTGCAGTCTTACTGTCTCTATAGATTCTTACTCAAAGTAGATGGAGATTATTGCTCAATAAAGTGAAAACATCCTGCTATGAAAATAAATGAAGGCAGGATAAGCATATTGGGTACAGAGCTGGGAAAATCACCATCGAGAAGGGAGCTTTAATCTAGCATTGAAGATTGCAAAGGATTTCCATAAGAGGAGAATGAATGGGGAAAGGAGGAAGAAAGAAGTGAGGTGGATAAATTATGCCTTCATAGAATATAAAGTGAGGAAACAGCAACAATTAACACAAGGCTTAGGTCTTCAACGTGTGCTGGTAGATGAATAATGGTGATACTGCTGGCAATGCACTTGTGAGGGTACTTTGGAGACAGGGATTTCCAGCCAAGCAACTTGAGACCAGGTTTCCAAGGGCTGTTCAACACACATGACTTTAAGGATGAAAAAGAGGTTAGTGAGATTAGTGGAATCCTCTTCTACCAGCTTCCCTGTCAGCTAAATCTCTTCCCACCCACTGAGTCCTGTGGCTGGTATCAACACCTGCAATGAATGTTTCTACCTCTGTCATTCACACTCCTCAGACCACATCTTCTTTCACACCCACCTTTGTTTTCCTCTTTTGTCTTCTCATTCCATCTTATAACTGCAGGCTGACTCTTCACTTTGCCTGCTGATACTAGTGATTCTGAAAAGTGGCTAGAGAATTCAGACATAATGGATATTTGGGGTCCTATCCCAAGGCTGAAAACTCAGACTGGCACCAAATAGGTAAGTCAACTGCCAAGTGTAGCCTTCAGACCACAGAGCTTCTTGCCTCCCTTCTCTGGAAAGCTACAAACAAATCATACACTCTGCACAGAGGATACTTGAAAACTTCTGACTGTCCTTTTTCTACACAGGGCTGGTCATCTCTTTCCCATTCCATGAATATTGGAGACAGCCAGGAGCTATTAATAAGGAAGAAACAGATGCATCAGATCCAGGAAACAGATTAACTAACTCCAAGACTCTGAGGACATTAACTTCTCAGGACTTCGTTGTCATTAGATAAGGCATAAATAATAAATTCAGATTTTAACTTACCATGCAACCTGGACTAGAACCTCTATAACTGCCTTGATTTCTCCATAACTTCCACTAACATTATATAAAACACTGTATTTAGAATATCATTTTCAGGAAAAAAATGTTGACTTTATTGAATCATAAATTTAAGAAAACTCATCATAAGAATACTCGCAATCCTAATGGTTGCTGGGGAAGGGGAGACATTTTCCTCAGTAGTATAGCAATTGGTAAGGTGCCCAGGCCCAAACCTTGGCCCATGCTCCTGTAAACAACCCAATGAAACTAACCAGGTCATTAAAGAATCAAAACAACAAGGCATGGAGATAGAAGGGGATGAGCTGTATACAGGAAGGGGATCAGTGGAGAGAAGTGGAAAAGAGAGTATCAAGGGCCAAACATTTTGAAACACATTACATAAATTAAAACATCATATTGAGGGGCTGGAGAGATGGCTCAGCGGTTGAGAGCATTGACTGTTCTTGCAGAGGATCCGAGATCAATTCCCAGCATCCACATGGTGGCTACCAACTGTCAACTCCAGTTCCAGGGGAATCTGAAGCCCTCTTCTGACCTCCGTGGCATTGCACAACACAGGTGCACTTACATACATACAGGTAATACATTCATATACATAAAAAATAATTAAATAATTAAAAAATCATAATGAAGCCAATTATTATGAATCAGCCATATGTGCTAAATAAAACATTTAAAAAACAAGCTAAGAGACAAAACTACAAGATCCCAAACAAAAAGTAAACAAAAAATTAAATAATAACAAAAAGAAAGCCCAGTAGCAATTCAAAGGAGTCTCGAAGTAAGCATACAACAGAAGACACCTGTTCAATTCTTTACTATTCATGATATCCAAGCACGGAACAAGTCAGGTAACCAGCCACAGATGAATGGACAAAGGAAATGTGGTCTACAACACAATGAAGTATTATCCAGCCACAAAGGAGAATGAACCACTTGCAAGAAAATAGATAGAGCTGGAGCTCATCATAGTAAGCAAAATAATCCAGACTCAGAAAAGTATCACACACTTTAGTCACACATGTGGGATTTAGAAAAAAACTTATTTATAAAGCAGAATGGAGATGATTAGAGAAAAGGAAAAAAATCAAGGGAGTGGCTATAAATGACAGCAATATCACCAAAGTATGCTGTATGCATATATGAAAATATCATAATGAAGTCAATTATTTTATATAACTATATATGTTAATAAGCACTCAATTTTTAAAACTCACTTAAAAACTATTAATCTGAATATATTACTACCATTGGCTTTTGTATGGAACACTGATTGAACATGCTCTGTGCCAGGCACAGAACAAGAACAAATGAGGCATTCCTCTCCCAACAATGCACAGTCTCAATATCAGTACAGAGACGAGGGCTGGAGATGAGTGGGGAAGAAGCTCTTCTGTTTCGGGCAATAACTCTGAACACTTGGGCAGTGGGACGGACCTAGCTCACATAGGAGGGCTCAGGAAAGGAGCAGGGCACAGGGCAGTACTCGCACATGACCACAATGATCCTATGTGAGCCAAGGCACTTTCTTACTCATTTGTTTCCAAGAACAACCTTCACGGTTCTTGGTCTAGCACAGCATTCAGATATTTATATTTATTCAACAAAGACTACTAAAGGGTTAAAACAGTTTTTTAAAGTTTTGGTTATAGCTTTAAAAAATTTTTCTAATTTGAAAACATTAGCATATCAAAACCAAGAAATCCACTCATTTTTGCTGGTCAGATAAATATAAAGATGATGAAGATTCATTTCAGAATATAATTTAAGAGGTTACCTTCCTCATATTGATCAAGCTTATCAACTCTCACCAGTGAAGGTTCCTCATATAACAGAGTGCAATGCACACAGAAGGCCACAACTGGCCAAGTTTTGGAGAATTAAGAGACTGCAGAGTGTGTGTCTCTGGATAGGACTCCTAAATTAAACTTCACCCACCTATGACTCAGCAACCACTGCAGAAGAGGAGGTGGAAAGACTGTAAGAGCCAGGGTTGGTGATGAACATAAGGAAACAGAGGCCTTCAGGCCCCTGGGAACTTTCTCATATCAACTTGCAACAATGGTGAGAGCATGCACAAGACCCATGCTGACTCAATCTGAGAAAAACCCAGCATAGAACTGGTGAAAAGGGTAGGAGGCCCCAACCTTAGAGGAAGAACTATTGACAACTGATTACTGCTGGGTTAGGGAGAGTTGTTCTTCTTTAAGGGAGTGACTCTAGATAGGCTGACTAGACTCCAGTGGATGCACTGAGGGACATCTGGATACAAATGCTTAACTGGATAAGACTTAACATATATGGTAGAATGCTTGAAATCGGTGTGTGTGGGAGAACTATTGGAGGACACATGTCGGGGAAGGGCGGGGTCTAAATTTGATTAAGAACTATTATATGACATGAAGAAAATTCAATGAAAACATACATTAAAAAATAAAAATAAAAGAATCCACCACATTGGCATTTTGTTCAATAGAAATACATTTCAAATTTGTAAGTAATATGAAATATCCTACAATTTTTTACAAATA